CCCCCCCCCATTCTAATAATAATAGGGGGGTGCATGCAGCATGTAGGGGGTGCAGGTACCTGCCTCTGGTTGGTTAGGATGCTTCTCTCCTCTCTCCAGCAGTGCAGCTCTCACCCATCTCCAGAGCAGAGCCCAGGATCGCTCACTCAGCCCAGCGCAGGGTCCCCAGCCAGCCAGCACTGCTCACACCCTGCCGACAGCTGATTGGCTGGGCTGGCCAGGCAAGGGACTGAGCTGCATGACAGGTGACCAATCAGGCTGCAGGCATTATTCTCAGTTCGGGTGAAGCAGAAGTTGGCAGGTGCGGAGGAGCTGCAGGTGGACGTCAGCGCCATCTAGCGGTGGAAGAAGAGAAGGCGCCGCATCATGACACGCTAATAGGGTTCTGATTCTGATTCATCATGTGACATCTACTGCATGAGCAAAGGGCAGCAACCTATCATCGTACCTGGGAACTCTCTGCAAAGGGTTCTAGGAAAAATTGGGTGTCTGGTAGGTGTATGGTAACGCTGGACCGAAAATTTTAATTGGTCTGTATATAGAGGTGGTGCTCTTTTGAGAAGACCAACCTACAGCAGAGGTGCAATGTATAGAGAGGTGGCTCCAGTTTTAGGATGTTACTTTGGTCACGGGCGGTCAGTGCACCCCTCACCTGATAGGGTTATGAGCACCTACATTTTTCCCAAAATGTGTTGGCCATACTAAACGAATAAACCTTTTCACTAATCATCAAGCTACGTGACCAGTCTTACTAGACGCTCCTAACCCCATAGGTAGAAACGCCAGTATGGGAGGTCAACATGGAGCAACGTGATATTATGAGACAAGATTGGAGATATATCCGGGGGCAGAGTTGTGGATGGCTTTGTAAGTGGTTATTAATATTTAGAATTTTATTATTTGGGCAATTGGAAGCCAGTGAAGGGATTGGCAGAGAGCCGCGGGGGATGGAAGCCAGTGAAGGGATTGGCAGAGAGCCGCGGGAGATGGAAGCCAGTGGAGGGATTGGCAGAGAGCCGCGGGGGGATGGAACCTGGTGGAGGGATTAGCAAAGAGGGGTGGAAGCCAGTGGAGCGATTGTCAGAGAGGGACGGGGGTTGTAAGCCAGTGGAGGGATTGGCAGAGAGGGGAAGGAGATGGAACATGGTGGAGGGATTAGCAAAGAGGGGTGGAAGCCAGTGGAGCGATTGTCAGAGAGGGACGGGGGTTGTAAGCCAGTGGAGGGATTGGCAGAGAGGGGAAGGAGATGGAACATGGTGGAGGGATTAGCAAAGAGGGGTGGAAGCCAGTGGAGCGATTGTCAGAGAGGGACGGGGGTTGTAAGCCAGTGGAGGGATTGGCAGAGAGGGGAAGGAGATGGAACATGGTGGAGGGATTAGCAAAGAGGGGTGGAAGCCAGTGGAGCGATTGTCAGAGAGGGACGGGGGTTGTAAGCCAGTGGAGGGATTGGCAGAGAGGGGAAGGAGATGGAACATGGTGGAGGGATTAGCAAAGAGGGGTGGAAGCCAGTGGAGCGATTGTCAGAGAGGGACGGGGGTTGTAAGCCAGTGGAGGGATTGGCAGAGAGGGGAAGGAGATGGAACATGGTGGAGGGATTAGCAAAGAGGGGTGGAAGCCAGTGGAGCGATTGTCAGAGAGGGACGGGGGTTGTAAGCCAGTGGAGGGATTGGCAGAGAGGGGAAGGAGATGGAACATGGTGGAGGGATTAGCAAAGAGGGGTGGAAGCCAGTGGAGCGATTGTCAGAGAGGGACGGGGGTTGTAAGCCAGTGGAGGGATTGGCAGAGAGGGGAAGGAGATGGAACATGGTGGAGGGATTAGCAAAGAGGGGTGGAAGCCAGTGGAGCGATTGTCAGAGAGGGACGGGGGTTGTAAGCCAGTGGAGGGATTGGCAGAGAGGGGAAGGAGATGGAACATGGTGGAGGGATTAGCAAAGAGGGGTGGAAGCCAGTGGAGCGATTGTCAGAGAGGGACGGGGGTTGTAAGCCAGTGGAGGGATTGGCAGAGAGGGGAAGGAGATGGAACATGGTGGAGGGATTAGCAAAGAGGGGTGGAAGCCAGTGGAGCGATTGTCAGAGAGGGACGGGGGTTGTAAGCCAGTGGAGGGATTGGCAGAGAGGGGAAGGAGATGGAACATGGTGGAGGGATTAGCAAAGAGGGGTGGAAGCCAGTGGAGCGATTGTCAGAGAGGGACGGGGGTTGTAAGCCAGTGGAGGGATTGGCAGAGAGGGGAAGGAGATGGAACATGGTGGAGGGATTAGCAAAGAGGGGTGGAAGCCAGTGGAGCGATTGTCAGAGAGGGACGGGGGTTGTAAGCCAGTGGAGGGATTGGCAGAGAGGGGAAGGAGATGGAACATGGTGGAGGGATTAGCAAAGAGGGGTGGAAGCCAGTGGAGCGATTGTCAGAGAGGGACGGGGGTTGTAAGCCAGTGGAGGGATTGGCAGAGAGGGGTGGGCTCTCTTACTGCTGGCCCTAGATTGAGGTAAGTAGGGTCCTTCTCACTCCAGCCCCACATATCTTCATTCAGGCCAGAGGGAAGAATGGAGGAGTACAAACCCCAATTCGTTCTCCTCCATACTGCTTCTTCCTCCACCAGTTGGGCCCCCAGTTGGGAAGATCTGGCTGCTTTGGGCCCTTCAGCAGGAGGGGGAGAGAAAACACCTGCAACTGATGCTACTGAAGCAGATCACAGCTCATGAGACTTTAA